TCTAGGAACTGCCTTCTAGGAGGATCCAAGGCAAAAGCAGGAAAAGAAACTTCATTCAATGTTGCCACATCTGTGGTGGGATGAGGTTTGGTCGATGGCTCTTACACCGAGAGCAGCACAAAAGCCTTTGAAGAGTTCAGGCCTGCAGTGCTATGTGATTTACACAGGAGGTCTTGGAATGCTTTGGGGCAAAGCCAGGAGCTGAAGAAGCCACCGCCACACATTTTCTAGAAACCCCCAATGATGTGCAAAAAAGGGCAGCCGTTTCTTGCAGAAAGTCGCTAGGGGGCACTGCAGCCTTCACTAATGAGACCCAATGAAGATGTCTACTATCCTAAAAAGAGGGTCTGCTGTATGTATAGAATGAGTTGACAGGCCTGGCAAATAAAGATGCAGTTGTGCTGAGTAGTAATAATTATTTTCTCAGCCTGAAAAATCCAAGAAGGGGCTATTTTAACACACACCCAAACATTAACTGTTTGCTCTTCTACCTTTAAATGTTCTGGGTCAGATATACAGTTTCTGTATGTTAGCTGCATTCAAGATTTTGTATGCTACAGGGGGGAATGCATCAGCCCTCAATGCTGAATATGAACAATTAAATCTCTCACACTCTTGTCTGTTTTTTTTCCCCTCTCTCTCATACACACCGTGTAGTTCTGAAGTACATTTTATTGATATTAAATTTATCACACCTGGGCTGCAAACATCCAGACAGTCACTAGATGACAGCAACAAGTCCTAATTTGCAAATTTCTAGCATGCAAACACATTCTCATCTCATTCTTGGGAAGTACAGAGAAGTCTCTCTTGATAGCAGTGAAAAGAAAACTAAATTGTTAAAAGGTAATCATGCTGAGCACTGCCTAGCAGTGAGTGCCTACAAAAAGCATATTAAAGCAATTGCTCTGAAGGAGCATACCCCAAATACTGAGTTGTCTGCAACAACTTTAAGCACCCCACTTGACTCAAAATCCAGGTACTTTGAAAAGCAAACTGCTGATGCTTCTTCTTCCTCCAATGCATTGTCTAGACCAGGGGTCTCCAACCTTGGCAACTTTAAGACAGAATTCTGGGAGTTGAAGTCCACAAGTCTTAAAGTTGCCAAGGTTGGAGACCCTTGATCTAGATGATGAGTGATCATATATATAGAACTGGGTAAGCTTATGTTGGTTGATACAGTATAAATTATAATTATTTTAGAGCAATGCGGATACCAGGATGCCATTGTTTCAGGCAAGAGAAGTGAGTCACCTCTTCTGGGAGTCTTTTCTTTCCCTGCTTGTGCATTTCTAAACCAAATGTCTGAAAATTGACATGTGTAGAGAGATTGAGATCACTCCTTCCCTATTTGTCCCCACTTCTTTCTTGCAGAATGGAAAATCAGAAATGAGACCTCTGCCTATATCCACTGTCATAGGAACATTCAGGGAGTTCTATCCAAATTCTCTGGAGAGAATTTGGTTAGGTCAGCTAGTGCTGATAACAATGACCTAGATAGATAGGGAAATAGTTTGATAATAGGAGGCAAAGTCTTATGTAGGCAACTGTTCAAAGGATCTTTTAAGGCAGCCCTCCCTACCTGTTTCTTTGTCATACCAGCTTGAAGTCCTGGCTGTTAATCTACCAAGAGGTGCCAGATTAGGAACAGCTGCTCTTAACAGCAGTGTCTGTAACAAGTCACGTTGATTTCAACTTGGCCACATGTGCACCGTATCATTATTGCACAAATGATCAATTATGTACTTGCATCATGGTGTCTGGTATACAACTACACAAGTTGCATCATTTGTCTGATGACATATAAGCCCTCTCCTACCTCTTCTCCTCCAGCACGCTCACAGTTCTTAACATTTAAAATAAAAAGCAATTCGGTGTTTAAAGCAAGACTAAAATTACTGGGGCTCAGCTAAGTAGCAGACACTAAATAAAAGTTGGCTGATCTCAAAAGTCTTCAAAACATGTTCCTTTTAGGTTTTGTGTTATTCATTGTCATGTAAGGATCTTGTATGTAACAATGCATAACATCCAGAGTGGTTCTTTGAACACATTTAAGGGCAAAAATGTCATCCAAACCCAGAAAACTATTCTTGTTTTCATATAGTGGAAACACTATTTCATCAGCATATTTAATGTCATCTATTAATTTGCACATTATTTCCATCTTGTATAAATAAATGCCTGTTCAGTTATAGAGGTGCCTCAGGTGCATAATGTCACTTTCTAGACAGAACCAGGACATGGTCATTCCTATTAATTGGCTGTAATTCTTCACTAAACATGCAGCGGGAGACACAGACGAGGAAAACATAGAATTATTGTGCTCAGTAGGAAGGCAGAACAGTCTTATGGCCCTGAAAATGCCACCTGTGCAGCTGGGCAATCATCCTACAAAACCAGAAAGAGCCATTTCGCATTGAACACCCAGAATTTCCACAAAGTGTTCTTGAACTTAATTGCTGTTTCTCACCGGCTGTGACCTTTATGGATTGACACTAAGCAGGAGGTAATTCAGCCACTTTCAGAGTGCTCCCCCCAGGCAATTTCATACTTCTCAAGTATTCACAGCTTCCAAGCTTGAAGAGAGTGACAGGCAGAGCAGGCTGGGGGTTTAATGGGACTATTAGATATGGGGCTCCACTTAGGAGAGACAGCTGCATTTAGATGCATGCATTCAGGCCCCAGATCTGATGCTGCTCATTGGCCAGATCACAACCTGGCTGAGACCTCTGGATTGGACTGCTTGACACACTGAATTGTGCTTTAAAATACATTTAGTTTCTGAAGCATAGCAAAAGAGAGAATGGTTTTCCTTCTCTTGACAGTTGTTCCTACAGCATGGAGATGTTGCAGGAGCAGGGTCTTTTGGAACCATGCTTGCCAAGAGAGAAATATTGGACAGCCTCTATTCCACAGTTCAGGTGCAAGAACCAGATGAGATATGAATATTCCTCCTTGTCTTCAAAGTGAAACATTTTGACCTTTCGTGCCAATCAATGAAATACTCTGACATTTCCAAAGTTCCAACTGTCACTACGTGTACATTTTGCAGGTCAGGGTGTTTCTTCTAATCTCACACAATTTCCACACTGAAAGTGGCAATGGATAATAATTGAACTATTGGGCAAGTAGAGTTAACATATTCAGAACTGGAGTTAAAGTGATCCCATGGTTCGTTGTCTGATTTTTAAGCCTTTAAGCCTTCCTCTCCAAAGAACAATTTTATCATTGCCCCAAATTGAGAAATAAACCATTTTTGTTGATTTAAATTGCCTCAAAGCTTTAAATCAAAACATACAAAGCCTTTGGTTTTCAATGTAATTGAAAAAAATAATATATATTTTATCGCTTATGGGGATCCTCAGGAAAAGAATGGCAAATACCAGGTGAGTCAAGTGTTTATGCATTGCATAATGAATTTAACAGAAAAATAAGTAATTTTTCCACACTTCCTTAGATCTGAAGGAATGAGAAAGAATTAAGTCCAGAATGTTCCAGGATCTTTTGCATGCAAAACTTGCATCATTTACAACTTTTTAAAATGGAGGAGGAAAGAAACCAGAAATAAACATTTTGTAAATTCCATTTTCCTTACTCTATCGGGACATTTTGCTTGATTAAAGGTCTAACTGGTCCAGACTTGGAGACTGTGTGGTCTTCTGGGTTGTTATATTACAACTATCACCATGATTAACTATTGGCTAGTTAGCTGAGGTTCATAGCAGTTAGAATTCAAAAAAACATCAGAAAGAACACAAGTTTTCTCCCTGCCCTAAGACAACAGGCAAACAAGCAAACAACTTTGGTTGCCTTGCCAATTAAAATAAAACAATGCTGCCTACCCCCCACCCCAAACAATCAAAAGTTTGCCCTATTAGATGCTTTTATCCTTTTTTCATATTTTGGAAAGTCCTCACAGCATAATAATAAACATGTTTATTCAAATGTAATTTCATCTTTCTAAAGGATTGTAATTTGAATTAATTTGGTTCAGGAGAAGCAGGAAAAAAAAGATCTAGGTTTAGAGCACAAATTCTCCCAAATTTGTGGGAGGGGATTATCTATCATCCTGAGGCACAGAGGGAAGATCTAGCAGCTGTCGTTGGCTGTCCATTGTAGGACCACACAAGAAATGGTTTGATGGGAAACACAGGCTCAGATTATAAACAAACAGACTGTGTTCCAACATTACATACTGTTATAAATATATATAAAGTTTGGTTTTCAGTCCCAAGAGGAGTTCTATGAATACAATGGGCAGCAAGAAAGCAAACAAATGAACCTTTGAACAAAACAATCTAAAGTTTTCACTTGGGCACAAATAATCAGCTTCACAGTATCCTAATTTGGACACATTATGAGAAGATTTAGCTTTCTGAAGAAAGCACTAGTGCTGGGAAAGAGAGGAAGAAGATGACTAGTAGCAAGGTGGACGGACTCAGTTAAAATGGCAATAAGTGCACCTTTGGATGTAAACCTGAAAGATCAGATTTGGAACAGATCATGGAGAAAATCTATGCAGTATTTAAGAGCTAACATTGGCCTGATGGCATGTAATCAAGTCAATATATAAAACTCTTTAAGACTGCCCATGCTTTATTCTAATAAAATGCTCTTTTGTTTTTGTTTTTTACTAAATGCAGTAAAATAAAATTACATGCATATGATAAAAATTTGTTAGTCAGAAAAGGTCCTACCAGACGCCTTCTGATTTTTTTGCCCCCATAGACTAACACGGTTCTCCTCCTACAATGACTAAATGTAGGTAACTGTTTAAAAGTGGATATTTGCCAGCATGTTTATGTAAGCACCAAATGCATTTTAGCATCTCCTGGGCGTTTTTCTTAATATAATTTTATTAAAGATTTTTAAAAATCAAATAAAAACTCATAAAAACTAATATAAAATAAGGAGGAGGAGGAAGAAATCAAAGACAAAGACAAAATTGCAAGAAAGAAAAATTTAAAAAAATAGAAAAGAAAGAAAAATGATACAAGAAGAAATTTCCAATTTTCTTTATAGCACTTATAAATACAACTATAAGTTTACCATAAATCTTAAGGTTTTTTTTTTCTTTTTCACACAAGGCGTCTATAAGGGGTTCCCAGTATGCGATAAATGTAGACATTGTCTTTTCTCTGATCAAGAAAGTCAGTTTGGCCATCTGAACAAATTCCATCATTTTCACCAACCATTTGTCCACTGCATCTCCCTGACTTTTTAATAAATGTAAATGTCATTGTCCTCCCTTCCTCTACCGGGACTATCCAAAAGAATAAGGTAATGCTGTGTGTTAATTCAGCACTGAATTAGCAGTCAGCTCTATCCATTCTTTGTTCTTTCTGGTTTGGAAAACTGACCTACTTCATGGGCAAACAGGGACAATTCTTTAGAAATGCCTCTGAAGTGATAAATTAGACTCATTGTACGTTAGCCACTTCTAAGAAACAATTGCAACTCTCCTTCTCCTTCTCCTCCTTCTCCTTAACCCATGAATACGTTAAGCCATCATTCTGGGAGAACCATAAGTAGCCCTATGGTGCAAATTACACTTTGTTCAGAAGGCACAAACAGATCTCCAGGGTACTATGAAAAGGAGTGCATTGTATACTTGGGTAGTCTAAGCCCTGCCAACTGTCACAGATTTTAGTGACATGAAAAAAAAAGAACCTCACACAGCTCATCAATGAGTTGACAAATCCTTAAAAGGGTTCATTCTCTAGGGACAAAAATAACATTTTTTTTTTAAATTCACAGCAGGGCTTTCGCCCACACACACTGTACCAACTAAAACCTATGGATAGAAAAATGTAAAACGCATTATGTAAGTGTAAATAAAATCAAGCTCCTATGGTTAACTGATTTTAGAGCTGTTTGCCCTCTTTTTGGATAGCATCCTCTTCGGTGGTATACATACGGGAACTGTTTCCACAAAACACCAAAACGAAATTATGTGATCCAGGCAACCATTGTCACTTTGCAGGAACATTTCAGGGGCTTCCTACCAACCAGAGATATCATCCTCTTCTAAGTCAGGCTGGAAAGTCAACACCACTCTAATTTAAGATCAGCATTTCACTGCTCATCAGAATGTGTCTACATGAGCCTGCGTACAATCCTTCAGCTTCTCTGCCCCAAGGAAGCCCCAGGCAGGCAACACTGCCTATAGCTTTTAGAAGGGAGAATCACTAGTCCAGAAAAGAGAAGAGAAATAGAGTTTAGCACCAGGCTCTGGAAATGTATTCTCTTTAAAAGCAACTTTCACAAGCTTACTCCTGTGTTTGGCAAGGTGGACAGAAAGAGAGGAAGAAAAAAATGTATATAGTTCGAGGCAAATGCATAATGGGTCTTAGAAAATTCAAACCAGTATCTTGCTCCTGCAGTGACCCAACAAATACCCATGGAAATCCTTCAAGCATCACCAAACTCTCATATTCCCTGTCAATTGGTATTCAAAGACACATGCTGCCTTAGAGACTCAGGGTAATGTATAATCTTTAGGGCTGAGCAATCTTTGAAAGTGACTCAGAAGAAGCGTTTTGGACCATGTGAAAGCACAACACCTCTCTGCAATGCTTCAAAGTAGTTCCTCTTGCCCAAGACCTCTGCATGAGCCTTAAAAAAGGTACAACTTCTTTAAGGAGTTGATTCATTCAAATGAATATTTTAAGGAGGCCAAACTTTCTTTTTTCAGACTTGCCTAAGATCCAAATATCCTAATTTTTCCAGATTGCTAAATTCTTTTTTTTTTTTAATCAGAAGCTTTATAAACAAGCGTCAACATAACTAAAATATAAGATGGCCAAAAAAATTCTGCTGGAAAGACCAGCAATCAGCTTCATTCAGTCTCTGTGTCCCTCAGATGCCAGCCAGATGCCACTGGAAATTTCTAGAACATTCATCTTTATCTTCAACACTGTGTTTTATGGTTTGAATATGAAGATTTAATTTCACAACCATAACCTAAAATATCAAGATGGTAGACAGTTTCTGCCTTTTAGGATCAACCATCCACACTATGGGAACAGCTGTTAAGAAATATGTTCCCCAATAGCACTTGGCAGAATAGCCCTGAAGACTTTGGAAAAAATATTCAGATGCTCTGATGTATCTACACCTACAAAGATGAGAATAATCCATTCAATTCTCTGTCACAATCTATGGAAGCAAAAGTTGTACTTTGAAGAAGCAGGATGGGAAGAGTATTGACCCTTTTAAAGTTTGGTGTTGGAGAAGACTCCAGGGAATATACTTTAAGAAAACAAACAAATGGATTGATGAACAAATCAATCCAAAGTTCCCACTTGGAGCTCAAAGGATCCTACTTTGGACACATTATGTGAAGACTTAATTCTCTGAAAAGGCTCTGATGCTGGGAAAGGTGATAAGAAAGAGAAGAAGAGAATGACTGTATGCACCAATGGAAGACTTGAAGGACCACATTAGGGATAGCAATAGCACTTAGACTTACAGTATATACCGCTTCACAGTGCTTTATAGCCCTCTCTAAGTGGTTTAAAGAGTTAGCATATTGCCCCCAACAATCTGGGTCCTCATTTTACTGACCTCAGAAGGATGGAAGGCTGAATCAACCTTGAGCCAATAAGAATCCAGCTGCTGGCAGTTGGCAGAATTAGCATGCAATACTGCATTCTAACCATTGTGCCACCACAGCTCATTAAAGATGATAGATCATCAATGATCATCAATAATCATCAATGAAAATTTATGTATGTGATTGCTAAGAGCTAAACACTGGCCCAATAGAACATCCCCAAACCATGCATTAATCACCATGATTAACTCGCATTAATAGATAAAATGGACTGGTTTTTTTCTTTAAAAAAAACATAAACATAAATTCAGCCAATAATCATCACATTTGTAAATATTAATTCTACCATTATGAAGAAATTCAAGCATCTGCTCCCCAAACAGTAAGATTTTAACTATTTGTGAGCTAATCATGAGTATTGCATAGTTTGTTTTACATAAAAATTGACGTATGGAAGCAGCTTGCAATTACTCTTCTGTATTTGAATAGATCTATAGATGAACAAGAGCTCATCTGCAGTACACTCAAAATTGCAGGAAAGAAAATCTGCATAGTGAAAAAAAATTATATAAGAGCAGTCATTCAGTGGAAGTAAACAGATCTGTCAATCAATGTAAAAATTCAGCTCTTATCTACTCCTTCTGCATATATAAGACTATGCTCTTAGCTCAAGCAACACTCACACAGCCTTTACTGATGCCCCTGCCCACATATACAAGATGTTTGGCTTTATGCATATTCAGGGGGTGGGGGGAAATTGCACCACACCAGATCTGCATTTTAACTCTGATAAAAATAATTGTCCCAGCCAGGTCTTCTGTATCTACACCCACAGGCACTAAAGTGATCAGAAGGAGGCAACTACAGTCTCCAGGGAGAGAAAAATCCACAATCACTTTCTGAGAGCAAAAACATTATATAAGATTATTTATGGTCAGCATTCCATGAGTCAATAGCAAATACAGAACAATTTCATCCTTAAGCGATTCTTTCCCTGGGTAAAGAACAATTTCATCTTTGGTTAAAGAATGAGAATGTATATCCTTCCCACTAGTTCCTGAGTGGGATAGTTTAGGTATCTTTGCTGCAATCTTCTAGAATGACTAATAACACATTGAGTACCATCTCGTGTCATAACATTTAAAAGGAAGACACTATGTCAAATAGCGGTTGCAAAGTCTGCCCATATTCAGAATCAGCAATGTTGGTGCTGAAATTGGGGGAAAGACAAAGTGGGATGGTTAGGCAGACTTGGTTATCCCTACCTCACAATAGGGGAAGAAGAGATGATAGTCCATCTCACTTCACTCCAAGCTGAACAGAAAGGAGAATACTCTACTGCTCTCTCCCCCTACTTCCATTTTTTGGAACAGCTCTCTTCCAATCTGACTTTTGGCAAGAACCTAGCCTGTCCCATCTCAGATGCGGTTTGACATCATTCTGGTGTTCAACTTTTTGAAGAAGGAGCGTAGCTTACAGATCTTGCACTTCTTTTTCCTCTTTTTGTTTTTTGGCTTTCCGTGCCCTACTTCCCATCTTTCATCCTCTTCTGTGGCCCAAGGTCCCCAGGCGCCACCATTGAAGTCAGGGTGAGCTCGTGGGTTTTCTGCAGGATATCTGACAGGGATGGCAGTCTGGTTGTAATTAACTAGCCTAAAAAGCAGAGCCCTGACCACATCAGGACGCTGATCTGACAGATCATAGCGCTCGTATGGATCGGCTGTAATGTTGAAAAGCCAGACAGACTGCCGCATCCCATCTGTCAGGCGCTCTAAGTTCCACCAACTCCCCGGGAAATTGGTTAGAGTCTGTGGTGGGATCCAGTCACTGTAGCCAGGATCTCCAGTAAGAAGTTTCCAGTCTCCCACCCGTAAAGAGGCCTGTACTGCTGTGTTCCAGATGCCAAAGCCATTCTCTAAAGAGCCATATTTGGCATGATTATACAAAGGGTCAATGTTGTGCAGGATTTCAGTGCGGGGTGACTCTTTGCCCTCGCTGATAGCTGGCCACACATTATAGCCATCCAAGCCATCTGCTTCAGACACATTGCCCCCAGCTAAAGTTACTAAGGTTGGGTACCAGTCAGTTATGTGGATGAGCGCCCTGCTGGTCCTTCGCTTGCGTTTAATCAGTGGACTGTGGACAAATCCAATGCCACGCACTCCTCCCTCCCAATATGTTCCTTTGCGGCCTCGCAATGGCCAGTTGCTTCCCCCAGAGAACGTCTGCCCTCCATTATCTGTAGAGAAAACAATAATACTGTTGTCATAATAGCCGTATTTCTTCAAGGTCCAGGTGATATTCTTCACAGCTTCATCCATGCATGTGACCATGGCAGCATATTTGCGGCGGGCAACGTTGCCCATGGAGCGATAGCGATAGATGTATTCCTTCGGGGACTGCAAAGGGGTATGCACTGCCTGGAATGCTATGTAGATGAAGAGAGGCTTCTTGGGGTTGTGGGTTGCCAAAATTTTTCTGACTCGCTGGGTGTAAAGGAACGTGGAATACTTGCCACTTTGTTCCCAGGCTACATTTTCCCCATCATGAAGATCATACCCACATATTCCTGGCCCGTCACAGTTGTCGTATGTATAATAATCCACATTTCCTGTCAGTGAGCCCAGGAAGGTATCAAAGCCCCTGCGTGTTGGCAAGCATTCTTTACGATAAAAACCTAAGTGCCATTTGCCAACCATGTGGGTAGAGTAGCCGGCTTCCTGCAGCTTCTGTGGGAGAGTGACCTGGTTTAGAGGCAAGCAATTTGGCTGTCGGGGACGGATGATTGAGTGCTGAAGACCTGTATGGATCTGGTACCTAGAAAGAGAGAGAGAGAGACAAAGAAAGCAAAGATATCATCTTAAATTGCAATATCTCTATCCCCCTGTGAACCTACATTGTGTGCCTGAAAAGTAGGTTTCCCTGACAGAACATTACTTCTACCTGGATTCCTTCTAAAAGCTGCGTGGCATGGTTTCAAAGAGTCCAAGCTGTAAGCAGACACAATATAATAGTTATCTATTTCCAGGATCACTGGTATACATTCATGCAGCATAAACACATTTTTGTTTTTTATAGTAATTTTATTAAACACTACAGTTAAAAAGCTTTAAACTTTAAAAAGAATAGAAAATAGTGCAGAAAAGAAAAATAGAAAGAAAAGTAAAAATGAAAAATAAGAACATAGTAAATACACACACACACACATATGGACATCACAAGTATACACAATTTTAGTAACTTATCACCTTCTTTTAAAATACAAAATGATCCCTTTTTCCCATATCTCATTTCTTATCTACAAAAAAAATCCTTAAGGTCTTGTCATTTCAGTCCTGATGTGGTCCATTCAAGGTTACCAGAAACAATAACATATATGTTTTAACCTTGATCAAATAAACTAACTTTATATTCCTTTTAATTTTAAAATCCCAATCTTTAATCCTTTTAAAATAATGTGCTAAAATTTTATTTCTTTTCCATTTTTTTCTCTCCCTCCCTCCCCACAAAATTCTTCAAAGCTTTAATAAGTCTCTTTTGTAAATCCAATATAGGAAAGTTATCCAGGTCACCTTTTTTTTTTTTTTTTTTTAGGGAGTTATTTGTATGTTCCTTTTAAATGTAAAGGTAAAAGTTTTCCCTATCCACTTGTGTCCGAGTCTAGGGGGCGATGCTCATCTCTGTTTCTTAGACAAGGGAGCCAGCATTGTCCTAAGATATTTCCACAGTCATATGGTCAGGATGAATGTATGCCAAGGTGAATGGGATGCTGCTACCTTCTCACCTTTTTATCTTAAAAGGTGAGAAGGTAGCATGCTTTCAAACTGCTAAATTAGCTGGAGCTGGGGCAAATAACAGAAGCTCAAATCTTCTCCTTGTCCAAAGGAATTATGAAGAGCCAGTTCTTCATTCCACTGTGGTTGTGGGCTCCTTTTCTAATGGAACTATAACCAACCACCAAGTTTGCCCTTTCTTCTCTGGAAATCTCCAAAATACACATATTTTTAAAGGATGCATAGAATATTGGTAAATTCCAATGTTTTTTGGGACTACCTTAGGCCCTATTACTTTTTCATTTATTTCTTCATATTTGCTCACCACTCCTATTTCCATCTCCTTGTTAGTTTTTACTTCCAACTGAAGAGTTTAACCACGTGCTGAGATCCAAGCCAGAGATGGTAAAACTAACAGGAGCAAATAATGGAACAAAAACAAAGATCAGTCCATTATATAATACTTTCTGGATGATTTTGCTGTAAGTATATACCAATGGGGAAATGCAAAATTTGTTACTACTGGTTCTGTGAATGTGGCTTGATGGGGGTAATGTGACTGGGTGCGCGTGGCCAACTTTTTTTTTTTTTTTACTTTTAAAAGCATTTTTTCTACAACCTCTTTGGCCAGAGAGGTTGTTTAAAAAATGCTTTTAAAAGGCTCTGACGATCAGGCAACTCAGCTGGGATCACCAGAGGCTTTTAAAGGCATTTTTTTTCCTACAACCTCTTCGGCTGACCCCACCGTACCTCGTCTGGCCCCCTCTCCCCGCCCCCCGCCCCCCACTGTAACCATCTGACAGGCTAAATTGCTGATCTGTAAGGACCCCCAGGTCCATTCTTCGCAGAATAACCCACCTCCCTCCTGAAACCCCTTAAAATACGTATAATATTATACGTTTGTTCAGTACTATTTGGATGATTGCTGAACAAATGGGCGTAAGTCAAGGACCATCTTTATCTGTAACTATGACTGATCCACTATGTATCGCACAAAGCCCAGTGAGTTTTACATGTCATGTAATTAATTTGATATCATAAATTCTGCATAATGCAATCTTTTTTTCCTTCCAGATGAGAATAATTAGATATGTTTTGGATAGCAAGCAAAAAAACTCAGCATAAGCTTGTTATGAGGCAATACACCGAGGAGAACAGCATCTTTACAGTCTATCGCCTCTGCCACCACTAATGTAGGGAAAGCATATTAAAACCTTCAATAGTGCTGATACTCTGTCTTACTGCAAATTAGGTAGCATCTGCCAGAAAGGCTCTTTGCATCAATACTTCTGACAAATTCAGAATCACAATCAACACTATCTAGAAAGTCAAAAGTTAAAATTTGAATGGTTTTTGTTTTTAAGATTTATAATGATTCATATTTAAATACAGATGTTGCAGGTAGTCCTCGACTTACGACCACAAAAGAGCCCAAACCTTCTGTTGCAAAGTGAGAAGTTGTTAAGTGAATTTTACCCCATTTTACAACCTTTCTTACCATAGTTGTTAAATGAATCACTGCAGTTGTTAAATGAATCTGGCTTCCCCATTAATTTTGCTAGTCAGAATATTGCAAAAAGTGATCACATGACCCCGAGACAATGCAACCGCCATAAATATGATTCAATTGCCAAGCATCTGAATGTAGATTATGTGACCATGGGGATGCTGCAATGGTCATAACTATGAAAAATGGTCATAATTCACTTTTTTCAGTGCCATTGTAACTTTGAATGGTCTCTAAATGTATTATTGTAAATCATCCTCATCTGGTGACTACCATTGGGACTGGCAACTTGGTCATCATGTGAAATGGTCACTAAGAGAAACCATGACTGTGCTTATGATCTTATTTCTCCTTTCCTTTGCTTTACAGACCTGCAAAGGTTATAAATGAAAAGATGGGTCTTTAAGGTGTTTTTTCATCACTGTCATAACTACAATTGGTTGCTAAACAAGGCAGTCACTAAGCTGCATTGATCTCTATCCACAAGGGATCGATTCAGCAGGAATTAATGTTTCATATAGACATGCTTTGTTTTCTGAAAACTTTTATTTATCAACTTCAAAGCACTTAGTCCTTTTAAAACTGAGGCAAATGGGGGCAAAATCTCTAGAATTTGCTGCAAGGGAAGGAATGCCTTTTTTAAAAAAAAAAAGTTGGACTGGGCAACCCATAGAGTGAAATCACATTCGTAGCTGCCCAGAAATGAAGCCCAAAGGGCTTATTCACAGATAAATGCTATAGGATTGCAGATTTAATTATGTCCCTGAAATCCACTGTAACATTTATTTTGGAAGTCATTTTATTTAATGTTGTGCCATAGTAGGAAAATGTTAGGATGTTATAGAACACCTTAAATACTTCCAGTTTTGTTATGGAATAAACGATGGGATAGGGCCTCCGGCTAGTTAGGCTCCAATGCTCACAAATCTGAATCTTCCATAATCTTCATTGGTACGCTATATCTATTACTTTCCCTCCAGTTCAAAATATTTATGGAAGAAATCCACATACTTTTGCTTCACTTTTAATTGTATATCTCGTGATATGCATGCAGGTAATGGCACTCTGAAATTGGATACAAAAGTAAATGAAGATAGTTTAGCTAGCCACAAAGCAGATGTCTACTTTTCTAGAAATGTCAAAGGAAAAGACATTAGGAAAAGTCAAAGATTCCGCACTGAGTCTTTTCTAACCACCCAATAATTCTCCAATCCCCAAACTTTTTTTTTCTCTTTCTCGGGAATAATTGCAATTGGTTCTGAATCTGTCCCTCTGCCCCATCCCAACACACACACACACACACACACACACACCACACACACCACATACACTGTTTATTTGGAATGCGTAGCTGTGGGAAATTAAGAGTGTTTTATGTCTGACAGATGCTTGGATGATGAAAATAAGGCAAGTTTCTTTGATTTCTGGCTCATGGACAGCAGAGCAAGCCACTGAAAATCTGGCAAAACATAAAGATCTGTGCAATACAGAGTTTCCACCCAGAATGTTCATTTTGGTGTTTGGCGAATATGTAGGACTGGACTGTAGGACTATTGGTATGTTAACTGTAGCAGCAAAGCGAAGAACACAGTTCATGCGAAGTTTGGGCAGAAATTTTCATGATATCCTCTCTGTCTGATGGGCTTCAGTTTGCTAAGGAGAAATAGATTATTCTGGGTTTTAGGAAGCAAGATGTCTTTCTTCCCCCTTTCTTCCCCCTATATGGTACATCCTATAATTTACATGCCAAGGATACTTCCTAGGCTGAATTCCCCAGGTTCAAGAGATACAGTGGGAAAACCTCCTTCATGAAATCTGTAAATGGACTTCTGGTCAATGTTGCCAGTACTGGACCAATAGAGTAACTCAAAAGAAAACTTTTGCTTATGTTTTAACTAACTTTTCAGCGGCTTATGTAGTCCAATGTTATTATCATGGATCCATATATTGTTAATCCCAAAACAGACCACTTCTTTAAAAGGGATGTTAAATTGCCTTCACTGCTAATAAAGTAAATGAATTTCTTGTTTTAATGTTAGCAACTCAAGAGCCTTGGTGGCGCAGCAGACTAAAGTGCTATTAAATAGCACCAGCTGCCTGCAATTACCGCAAGTTCAAATCTCACCAGGCTCAAGGTTGACTCAACCTTCCATCCTTTCGAGATAAGTAAAATGAGGACCCGGATTGTGGGGGCAATAAACTGACTTTGTATAAAAAAGAACACCGCTTTGGGGGGGGGGCGAAAGCCCTACTAAGCAGGTATATACAAAAATATGAAGGCTATTGCTTAACGCATTGTAAGCCACCCTGAGTCTCCGGAGAAAGGGCAGCATATAAATCGAACCAATAAATAAATAAATAAATAAATTTGAGAGGCTTTGATGAAATCCCGCTGATTCTCCAAACGCTGCTGTTTCTGTCCTCATCATAATCCATTGCCTCTGTTTCTGTCCTCATCATAATCCATTCTATAACTGCATTTTAATTGTATATACAAGTTTTAATTGTATGTACAAATACAAGTTTTAATAATACGTGGCGTGAATCTTAATGGTAACCAGGTAAGGGAGATCAGTAATACTATTTCCATATAAATAAGGAGCAAACAATGTAACTTTTTTTTCAAGATAAACTGGCTTCTCTCTGAAGGGAAAGTTGTTTGAACTGAAAAGTGGTGCCCATCCTTTGGGTAACACTGTCTGTACACCAGTACGGTTATGTTTTAAAAGCCTAATCCTATGAAATACAGCCAATATTATTACTCATCATTATGCCTCAGCATTCCTGTTTGCACACCAAACACCGTTGTGATTGAACATACTAATGCAGTGAAATCCATTTGCCGTTTTTTTTACTCATTCTTACTCATTCTTATGCCTCATCCCTACTGTCTGCACATGAATTTTGCTGCGCTTTAAACTTCTATTGCAGTAAAAACCCAACTAACCTTATCGCCCTCCAAAAAGGCTCGCAAATATCCCGCTCTTTAACACTTTCATTTTGAATCCTGAGAAACCACATTATCCCTTTAAAATAGCGTGGGGGGGGGGAAGGGATTCGCCTTTCTCAATCTGGTTATCCATTCTGTCCCTCTTTTTTATTTATTTATTTATTTATTTATTTATTTGAACGGAACTTAAAGAAGTTTATTCAGGGGGGACGGCCTTGGCTGAAGTTCACGGGGCTTCCTTCGGGCTTCCTCTCCAGCACCCACGGGGGGGGGGGGCTTCCTTTCCCCTTTGGCGCCTGGGAGTTGCTTCTCCCGTCCAGTTCCCCCCGTGGACCGGGTGGACCGAGTGGCGTGAAAGCGGCGCTTCTGCCCCTCCTTACCTTCCCGTGATAAGCTGACTCCTGGAAGGCGTGCAGATGGGCTGGATGTAATAATTCTCCAGTTTAACCCCTTCGGCAGCCAACCTGTCCAGCGTCGGAGTCTGGATGTCCGAGCCGTGGTAGCCCACATCGTGATAGCCCTGGTCGTCGGTCAGAATGAAAACGATGTGGGGAGGCCTGGAGAAAGCAGGCGGGAGGCGAGGTTTCCCCGCCGGGTCCCCCGAAACCTCAGCCACCAGACCGGGCTTCATCCAGTCCCAGGATAAGTAGCCGAAGCTCAGCAGGCTGACCAGGGAAAAGCCAGTCAAGGCATAGACGGCCATGCTGGGCCGAGTCCCTAAGCCTAGACGAGAGGCGCCTAAGATGCCGGCATCTCCCGCCAATGGGGGAAATCTCGCCCGGACGCCCGTCTCGGCCAGCGGGGCTCCCCTCGCTCAAGCCGAGCGGAAAAAGCGGCCGAGCAAGTTAAAATCGCCCGCGGGAAACGCCTTCAGGGATGGGATTCGTAGCGGCGGCTCGATTCCGGAGCAGAGGCTGCGGCGTCGGGGGAGAGGAGAAAAGGGAGAGGGAGAGGCGGCATTCCCGCCAAGTTTTGCGGGCTGTCAGCGCGAGACCTTTTGCCCAAGTCTAAAAACTTTTCCCGAAACTCGCGCCCAAGTTCAGCTCCATCGCCGCCGAGTCCCCTCCTCTCTCCTGGGCGGCGGGACTGGGCTTCCCTTTCTTTACGCCCCGTCCCGACGGAAAGTCTGGGCCAGGAGCGGCTGTCATGTTGCCTCACCCCCTTCCTCGGTGGCTTCCCTTCCCCACCACGTTTCTTCTTCGGGGGGGATCTCCCCCCCCTCGCCCCGCCCGCCCCGTCCTCCAAGTATGTCAAACTTCCACCCCACCCACCCCAATCCTGGATGTTTGTTTGGAAATATAGGGGCAACGCAGCCAGGGAGAAAAGCCCCCTTCGGAGCGAAACCGAAGGGAAAAAAAATGTGAGAAGTTGAACAACATCTGCCCGGGGGATCCCCGCCAGGTTCTGGAGGGAGTCTGAAAAACTCCGCTCCTCTCATTGATTCCCAGGGAACCGGCCGGCGAGTTCTCCGCCGCTTCCTGGGTCCTAAAACGAGTTCGGTACCCGTCACTCCAGTCCGGTAGATCCAGGCGTCAGTTCTTCAGCTTGTAAAAAAGTAGTGGGGTCTCCTCCTAGCCAAATTTGGATTCCCCCTGACTCTATGAATACGCCGCCGTCTGATCCAATTGTATGGGAAGTGTTATAGAAGTGATTTGCCACCCGCCACCCTTTTTTCCCAGGGTCTTCCCAGTCTGATTTGGGAAGCATCCTGGACATAGATTGTTTCAACTCCTAACGACAACCCTTCAAAACGACGCTATAGAGCACTGCACACCAGAACAACTAGACACAAAAACAGTTTTTTCACTCTGCTAAACAAATAATTCCCTCAACACTGTCAAACTATTCACTAAGTCTGCATTACTATTACTATTTGTCTTCTCATCGTTCCTATCACCCACTCTTCCCACTTAGGACTGCATGACTGTAACTTTGTTGCTTGTATCCTTACGATTTATATTGTTTCCTAGTATGATTTGATTGCTTATTTGTATCCTATGACTATCATTAAGTGTTGTACCTTATGATTCTTAACGAATGTATCTTTTCTTTTTATGTACACTGAAAGCATATGGACCAAAGACAAATTCCTTGTGTGTCCAATCACACTTGGCCAATAAAGAATTCTATTGTATTGTATTGTATTGTATTGTATTGTATTGTATTGTATTGTATTGGTTTGGTAGTACAGTGGTTTAATGCACCCTGTTATTAACACAGCTGCCTGCAATTTCTGCAGGTTCGAATCTTACCAGGCTCAAGGTTGACTCAGCCTTCCATCCTTTCTAAGGTAGGTTAAATGAGGACCCAGTTTGTGGGGGCAATAAGCTGACTTTGTATAAATATACAAAAGTATGAAGGCTATTGCTTAATGCATTGTAAGCCGCCCTGAGTCTCTGGAGAAGGGCGGCATATAAATCAAATTAATATATATATATATTGTGTTGTATTTCAAGTTCTAGGCTTCCTTGGTGGGAGGTCGATCCAACTTCTGACTATAACTAGCCCTGCTAAATCCAGATTAGGTATTCTAATCAATTGGGTGGCTATAGCACATTTAATAAATTGAACAGAATTGAATATACCCATATGCAAAAAAAAAAAAAATCACCTGGCAAGGCTCATCAGTTAGGGTGACCTTATCTGGGCTGCTAAAATCAATCAATACATGGCATCAGATACTCTTGACCCACCTGCATCATGTAAAGTGGCCCATGGAATGTCTCCAAGTTTCCAGGTCAGACACACAGAGAGATTTCTTCTTCTCCTGCCATCCTTTCCATTACCAGAGAGCTAAACAGTGGCTGGGATGACACAAGCATACCACCATGATTTAGTAAATTAACATAATGTTCAGACATTGCCCTTAAAACCTTTTTTTTTTTTTCAGTTAGCCGGGCTGTCCTGATTTTATGGTGGGTTTTTAAAATTTGAAATTGGTTTTGAATTGAAATGTTTTAAATTATGGGCCAAACTTTATTTAATTATTTTAAATCTATTTTAACTTTTGTGTACAAATGTTTTACTTTGGCTGTTCACCACCCTGAATCCGAAAGGAGAAGGGCGGTATAGAAATCTGAAAAATAAAATAAATAAAATAAATAAACATATAACCTATGAGATCTATAATTGGGGACTGCTGGTGGTCCGTGAGAGCATTGTAGAGACCTAAGTGCAGGCACCAAAATATTAATGCTCAATTTATTGAGAGAGTGCCAGTTGATTCTATTTTATTTTATTATTTTATTATTGATTTTGGTTTTGACACCTAAGGCTAAAGGCAGTAATTGGTTCAACGATCTTACCAGTTGTCAGTTATGTGAGGTTTTAAAGCTGACAACTGGCAGAATTACAAGGATATTCTGCAAACAAGAGAGATATGGTAGACTTTAAAAAATTTAAATGATGCTGTAATATATCTTCGTAACAGAAACTACCATATCAGGAACTTCTGTATCCATCTAAAATATGATAAAACAGATTTGTTTTATAAATCAGATTTGTTTTATTTGTTCTATGCAGGTTGTTCTCCGACCAGTATGATTGGGGTATTCTAGGATATGGGATTTTGGGATTCTTCTGGTGGATCATTTACAGTATATTGGAATAGATAAAAAAGTCACTGTTGATTTTAATAGTTTCTTTTCTTCCCAGGTTCCCCAGGCTTCTGCATCATCAAACTTTCTCCTGGGTTGCTGAATGGATCCAGACACGGAGAGAACATTTTATGGGAATGTTTCCTGATCTTTTCCTAGCTTATGTTCCAAAAATTGGTGCTCCAAAGAGCTTTAGGTTGTTCTCTGCTTTCAGAGCAGATTTCCCTCTACATGTTTTGGGCTATGGTTTCCAGACAGCATGGGTTATGCCATATTAATTAGGAATTGTTTTTTAAAGAATTTTATTAAGGTTATTGTAACATAAAATACAAATGTAAATAAAGATGACAGGGAAATAAGGAAGGGGGGAAAGGAGGGAGAAAGAAGTGTAGGTTCAGGGGGGGAATCAAATTCTAACTTTTTTCAGCTCAGTAAAGTACAAAATAAAACTACAACTTTAACTTTTTACTAACTTAACAAATACTAGCCATGTCTATAACAACAAACTGTATTAAACAGCAAAACCCAATGCAAATGTGTATTCATTACAGGTAGTCCTCAGCTTACAACCATAACTGAGCCCAAAATTTAAGTTGTTAAGTGAGAAATTTGTTAAGGGAGTTTTGTGACTTTTCTTGCCACATTTGTTGAGTGAATCACTGCAGTTGTTAAATTAGTAACACCGTTGTTAAGTGAACCTGGCTTTCCCATTGACTTTGCTTGTCAGAAGGTCACAAAAGGTAACCACGTCACTCTGCACATGACTCTGCAACCATTATAAATACGAGCCAGTTGTTAAAATCTGAATTTTGATCACATGAATCTTTTGCCACACTTGAAAAAATTTGGGGAGCTGACGGCTACAGGTAGGCGGGGGTCACAGTACACATGTAGATACAGATGTGGTTTGGGAAAGAGATTTGTGGATTCCCCCCCCCCCCACTCTTTACCCTTGGCATACCTATTTGAGGGCATATATTATAACTTCTCAAGTTCCCCATTTCAGGATAGCCAGAGGAACCCACAAAGCGAATGAGCTTGATGAAGCACTAAGGCAGAGGTCTTCAAACTTGGCAGCTTTAAGACTTGTGGATTTCAACTCCCAGAATTCTCCAGCCAGCTGGCTGGAGAATTCTGGGAGTTGAAGTCCACAAGTTTTAAAGCTGCCAAGTTTGAGGACTCCTGCCCTAAGGCTTTAGGCCTGACTGCCTGAAACCTTGGACAGCTGCTGCCAAAAGAGGAATTAGAGGGCTCCCCCCTCTCCCATCCATATCAGCCAGCCATCAGGACTTGTCATCCAGATCTCTGGAAAGCACGAAGCTGTCTATTCCAGACATCATTAATAGACAGCATGTCTGCCTGTCTGCATAAGACTGTTCAAGATGCCTTACTGTCCTTTTTATAAGCATGTATCCACGCCCTTCCTCTCCTCCCCAGCCAAAGCCAGTTAACTTTATTTTTTTCTAATCGTTGTGAAATTAGTGCTTTATCTTCTCTTAACCTATATGTATAAGTTCACCCGGTTGAGGCAGCATGGGCTGGAACCTGCTCAGCTCATACTGACTACTGTGGGTTGCTGCAGGCATGCCCAGACTCTGCTCTCTGGTGACTGCCGATTTCCCTCCACAGCTATGTTTATTTGCGCTGTTGGATTGATGTGACACCAGCAGCACCAATATTATTGGAGGATGCAGTAGACCAGAACCTCTCTAAAGCAACCTGCCTGTCAGTCAGGATATTTCTACACAGTTCGGGCAGACAGGCAACACCAAGCCGCTCTTATATTTAAAGGTTCTGACAGATGACTATCACTTCCTCCCCTAGCCTCAGTCCTCATTAGCAATTGGTAAATGTTTTTCCTATTGGCAGGGAAATTGGCCAATTCCTGCTTTAACATAGCCTGCCCTGAACTGCTAGGGCAGCACCACTCAATGGCTTCATTTGAGAGGGAGGGAGGGAGTCCAAGTTAGGTAGACAGGGAAAATAAAGTGCACTAAGCTGCCTACATTAGATGGGCTAGGTTCAGGGGTGAAATCCAGCAGGTTCTGACAAATTCTGGAGAATCGGTAGCAGACATTTTGACCAGTTTGGAGAACTGGTAGCGGAAATTTTGAGTAGTTCAGAGAACCAGCAAATACCATCTCTGGCTGGCCCCAGAGTTGGGTAGGAATGGGATTTTGCAGTATCCTTCCCCCAGGAGTGGGGAGAGAATGGGAATTTTGCAGTATCCTTCCCCTAGGATTGGGAAGGGAATGGGGATTTTGCAGTATCCTTCCCCTGGAGTGGGGAGGGAATGGAGATTTTGCAGTATCCTTCCCCTGCCACGCCCACCAAGCCACACCCACAGAACCAATAGTAAAAAAATTTGGATTTCACCACTGGCCAGGTTCTTCTCTTTCTTTGCTAATTTCCAGGAATAACTAACAGGTCTGAATAGAGGAGTAAAAGCTAATGTCATGACAACTGAAATACAAATGAAGTGCCTTTTTACATGAAATATTTCCTGGAGATTGGCAGAACATGATGAACTAAAACATGGTTAGCCATTTTGTGCTTCCATGTTGTATGATACAGAAGCAGTTCGTTTG